CACGATGTCTTTGTGCACCAAATACCGGCGAGATGGCACCGTGTAGAAAAGTCCACACAGTGTCTGTGAGTTAAAATGGCCGCCATCCATTGTTCTCACCATGTGCTTCATCCATTGTTCTCACCATGTGCCTCTGATACATGAAATGGTGGCCACCCAGTAACTCAACAGTATGTCCCCAGATGGTTCTTAAAGGGCCAGCAGCAGCACAACACAAATCCATTATGCCCAAATCATGTTTGTAAAGCGCCATACAACCCAGGACCATAGTCATGAGGCAGGAGGCTGGCAATCAGGCTCTTCCAACAGCTAGGGGCAAAGCGCAGCTTGTCACCTAAAAATCCAGTGACAAAAGGCATTTCGTCACATCTACTATATTGCTATACTAGGTGCTTACCATTACACCATTGCATTGCCACATGGGCTACTTACCATCACTGCACTGTATAGCTCTACCAGGCTCTTACATTACTCCACTGCAATACTTTAGCAAGCTCCACTGCCTATCTATTCCATTGCTCCACTGTAGTTAAATAATGGTATGCATATATATGAGGTGCCTGCCTGGCAATATTACTTTAAAAATCAGAGTAAATGTCCATTTGTGGAAACCAGTTTGTTGCCTCAACAGGGATCATGTATAGCATTAAATGGACACTATAACCGCTCAAGCCACTTCATCTCAATAAAGTGGTCTGGGTGCCTGAAAACATTTTCGTATCAGGGTTAACCTACCTCTAGTGGCTGCCATTGCTTTCCTATGGGAACACATTGGGTTGGCTGATAATATCGATAGCCAAGGAGTCACGTTCATCTGTGGAAAGGGCAGCGACATGTGGGGTGGAAGGTAAGTTTACGAGTCACCTAGACGGTGACTAGAGCACTATAGCATTAGGAATACACATTTGTATTCCTAACACTATAGTGGTCCTTTAACAAATATGGTCCTTTGGTTTGTGTGTTGGTTTGTGTATTAGTCCTTTTGAGGGCTTTATGTAGTGATATAGGCATTTATATTCTGTTTATTGGTTTGCTTAGTTTTGATTATGTTCTTGTCATAGTTCTAATACCAACGTCACAGGTCTGTTAATTGAACTCAACAAATTCTGCCAAATTCAAAGTTTTTCCAGGAAGTAGACCAACAAGGGACATACCATTTTCCTTGTTCCAAATGAAAATATAATTCCTGGCAAACTAGAACTGTTTCTATCATTCTTCATTTTTTGAAAAACAGAAAAATACTTGATACTCGTATTTATTCATAAATGATTTAAAAAGTATTGTACAATAGAAAGATATAATACTTTTAGTTAATGCTTTTTTATTTGGAACTGCTTCAGCTAATAAATTACAAACAATTGGGAACAATTGGGAAATACTATCTGAGTTTCACAATTCTCTCCTGTTGTAATGTTGACCTCTGTGTTTCTTTATTATCTATGTATATGGCATATCATGCTATAACTCAAACTAATCAAAAATAAACTTTCAATATTTTATAACCATTCACTATTTTTTTCTTCTCTTAAAGGTATATTCCATGCATAACCTATGCTACATACAGAGGTTATGGTGCAACAAGGTTTAGAGACCCTGTCTCTTTGCCCCTTTGCTTATAACAATTTAGCTAAAAGACTGTCCTTTTCTCTCTGACATTAAATGAGAAGTCTAAATTTCACACCGTTGACCATACCGGTATATATACACTATGTACTGAACATGGTGCATGTCCTCACATGTTAACAGGCCTGAACAATATTTTACATTAGGTTATACATGCAGAAATGCCATCTAAACCTTATTTAAAATGTAATAATTTAACAAATTATGTATAAAATACACTATTTTGTCTTTACAATATGTATAGAAATGGTCAGTATTTTTTTCTTTCTTTAAAAACATAAGCAAACCCTAATCTTGCAAAAGTGCCTATACAGACCTAAGCAGGTAGACAGGAGACAATGTGGCTTTACATTATCGTGTTCCTGGGCACATCTGGCACAACCCTCGCACGCACTTGTATCTGGGGGCTGGGGGGGGACTACATACATTCAAGCTGTGTACAGACAACTTCACAAAACTGTGAATGGGGTTGTCAATAGACTGATAGCTGCCTTGATATGGTTGCATTTAGTCTTTTCAGTCGTTCCACATATCAGGTCTGATGGATAATACTTCATTCAAGGCCCTGACCAATATATAACTCATTGGTAGACAGAGTTTTATAGAATAAAATCAGGTTTTGAATACAAGACTGTGAGGTTTCTTTTTGTTTGAGCCTCTTCCTGATGTAGGAAAGGCTGCCTCCTACTGTATTTTACCTATGGCACTGGCACTACAGAAGGTTCTTAAAAAGTCTGGATAATGCATTACAAAATGAGGGACACTTCCAGCATAGAGTACCCTTTTACGTGTTGAGTGAATTCGAGCTGAAAATGCTTTAGTATTGGCAACTGTCAGAAAACTAAATCTTTTTTCAAAGCAGCACATAAATATTGTTATGCAAATGTTGCTCAATGTTATTTTAATAAAATCCAGAAGATTTATGAAACTCTAGCTAGGCTTCACTCAGGCCCTTGCAGTGCTTAGTATACTGATCATTATATAAATATGCTTTTTCTGTGCTCACGTTGGTTTAGTAAAAGAACAATCTAAGTCATGGGCAAGCAACTTTAAGAACTCCAGATGTTGTAGACTATATCTCCCTTATAGCCAAAATCCTGTCAAAGTATCAGGGATATATAGTATACAACAACTGGAGTGTCCAAGGCTGTATGACCCTGCTCTAAGTACTTGAAAACCTTTGTTTCATATTAAACATCATGCAAATGATCAAGATAAAAATGCATGCTCATTGTAACCCAGCATTAAGAGAAGACATTAAACACATCCAGCATGTGGCCACTTATTCTATACATCTAATGTATGTTAATTATTTATCGGATGCTAGTCGATTGTGAGGCTTTTTTTGGCGTACATAAACAAACAGGATTAGTACACCATCATTTACTTTGTTGGTGTAGCATTGTTTCCAAATGAACAATTTTAGACCAGTTGCCTGTGCTGTGCATGAGAAATCAGCTCTGGGGCATTGCACACCCAGCATGCAGATATTACCTCTTAAATGCCAGAAGGTTTGCCAGGAATAAATATTTGACCACTTTTTTTATGCTTTAACTTTAAGGGAAACAAAGTAAAAATCACCACCCCTGATTTATTTATGCATTATAATAGATGAAGCATCAAAAATAAATAAATATCTTCCAACAACCCGATACTATATAGCATATATAAACTGATTGCAGCTTCAGGCAGTGCCCCTACCTCACCAGGAAGCAGATCCACCATTTAATAGGATACTCTGTGGGGTCTGCTGTTATCACACAAAGCCTGCAGAGGTTTATGGGATAAATAGTTCATTCCCTAACAGAAATCCTACTCATCACATAGGACTAGTTTATAGTGTTCCACCTGCAGGGTTCAGCACAGCCACCTACTGCACATGCCTGCAGTGAAAGCTTGCCTCTATCTCCAGCGAAGAGAGAGAGAGAAAAATCTAAGTTGTGTGTGTGTAAGCAATATGTGCATCTAGTACAAACTGTATTAAGGCAGACCAGCACTCTGGGGACTGTCTTATAGTTTTTTATACAGTGCGGAGAGTGCAGTCTGCATCATAGTTTAAATTCAAACCTGTATGATGACTATTTAGTGACCATTTAAAGGCTCAATATAATTATCAAATTCTTTTGGCAACATAAATTATTTTTCTCAAGAAGAAAATATAAATGTTTTCACTCAGCTTCTAAATTCTAGAATGCTGTGCAAAGCGTTACTGGGAAGATTACTGTTTGAACAATGGAAATATATAGCATTTACCTCACAAGAACCTGCAGTTAGTGCTTAGTGTTTATTTGCAATCCTTTCAAATCCAGGGCAAATGAGTCCAAGCTTTACTTACAATTAGACAACTGATGTTTCAATTTTCCAGTCTGGATCAGGAGTTAACCTGTTTTGTTTTTAACAGAAAGCACTACAAACATTGTATACTTTCCAGTATTTACTGTGATTGGCTAAGGAAAAAGTTTTGTATACTCAGTGCAAATTAGGTGTTCACTATGTATGTTGTGCACAATGCTAAAAGAAACGAAATTAGCAGTTAGGTGGAAAAATTGCAGTCAAGCGCAATGGCCAGTTATCAGCTTGCAAACACTTGCTGCATAGTGGACAGATCCGTAAAGTACGTGGCTACATTTTACAGTCATCTCTGTTGGTGTCCTTTATGTGTGGACTGTTGTTTATCTCTCTAATAAGGAAGTCGTTCATCTGATGCATACAGATCTTTGAGTTGTCTGCTGTATTATCTTTCCGTTTCCAAAGGGATACTCTAGGCACCATAAGCGGTTCATGTTATTGAAATGGTTATGATGCATGGGGTTTCAGTGGAGCTGTTAAACCACGTTTTGCATTTAATGCTGAGCAAATGTTTCCAGCAGGCCAGCCATGTCAGCTGATACTAGCGAATGCGATGGGTGGCATTGTTTGACTGAATACTCATCTAATTCTCTCAAACCAGCGGCTGAACTACAGTGGGAGCGCAGCCACTGAGTGCTAGAGGGGCCCATTGGGTGATGCATGCACTTAAGGTCTCCCGATGGGTATTGGTGAGCGGGGCCTCTCTTGGGTGCCGCAGCCGTTTAAGAGCATGACCTAGTATCGGCAACGTTGGGAGGAAGTTACAGCCAGTCACTTCCTTCCAGCTATAAGGAGAGAGCCTGCGGGTTAGGGAGAGGAGGCGGCAGCCAGGTGGGAGAGAAGCTAAACGAGTGACCTGCTGCAGACCCCACACAACCATCAATTTCAACAAGCAGTAGGACCTCAAGGAAGCCACAAAAGGTATGCTAACAGGAGGATGGCTTAGATTTAGATGCTTGTACACAGTACTTTCATAGGCATGCGCAGCCTATTGCATTAGGGTGTGCACCCTAAAGCACAAACACACGCCGCATGTGTGTGTGTGTGTGTGTGTGTATATATATATATATATACATATATATATATATATATATATATATATATACACACACACACACACACACACACACACACACACATACACTGCTGTGTGTGCTGTTAGTGTGCTGTGTGAGGGTGCTGTGTGCTGTTAGTGTGATGTGTGTGTGAGGCTGCTGTTAGTGTGATGTGAGGGTGTTTGTGTGTGTGTGTTTGTGACTGTGCTGTTTGTGTGTGAGGGTGTTTGTGTGTGTTTGTCCTGTGAGGGTGCTGTTTGTGTGAGTATCGTGTATTTGTGAGGGTGCTGTTTGTGTGTGTGTATTTGTGAGGGTGCTGTTAGTGTGCTGTGTGTGAGGGTGTTGTGTTTTTTTTAAAGGTGCTGTGTGTGTTTGTGAGGGTACAGTTAGTGTACTGTGTGTGTGTGAGCTGTATGTGTGTAGGTGCTGTATGTTTGGAGGGATTGTGGAGGTGGGGGCAGATTAGTAAATCCTTGCTGCCATGTGCCATCCCTGGTGGTCCAGTGGAGAGTGAACTCTAGCCTGCGGGGCTAGAGTTAACTCTCAGGAGATCTGAGCATTGCAGCAGCAACGCTCAGATATCGCGAGAGGAACCTGGGGGAGCTTCTGTCTAGAGCTCTCTGGGTCCTCTCCTGCCTCCCTCCATGCTGCTTTGGGCCGGTGAGGTAGATCTTTGGTCTCCCCGCCGGCCCATGGAGGCTTAGAGCAGAGCCGGCACTCAGATAGCGCCGGCTCTGCGTGAGCCGACAGGAGAGATCGAGATTCCCACCCCCCCAAAAAAAAATATACACGTGTGTGTACACACACTCACAGACACATTCAGACACACACGCACACATACACTCACAGACACACACACATTCACAGACACACACATACACTCACAGACACACACATACACTCACAGACACACATTCACACACACATACACAGACACACACTCACACACAGACACACACATATACACACTCACACACAGACACACACTCACACACTCACAGACATACACACATACACAGACACACACACATTCACAGACACACACTCACATACACTCACAGACACACACACATTCACAGACACACACACATACACTCACAGACACACACTCATACACTCACAGACACACACTCACACACATACACTCACACACATACAAATTACCTGGAGTGCTGGCGTGGACTTTTCCCTGGGGTCCAGTGGGGCGGGCGCCTCTTTGCATCTCAGCCGCGGCGAGGGAGCGGTCTGCTGTCTGGTCCCTCTTGCTGCGCGGGCTGTCTGCTGTAGCTGGGACACCCCGTGCGCACGCCTATGAGTACTTTGCTTTTACACAGTGTATGTATACACTGTATCTATCCATATGGAATATACATAATGTCTGATGCATGCTTGCTCCGAATATTAACACAATATTATATGCTTAATAGGAAACACAATAATTTAAGGTATAAATGTTTACAAATCAGGTGTAAAGAAAAACTACATTCAATCCCATTCAAGATTTATCAGGACACACATGCAGCCTTTTAGTTCATCCTCTAAATAACCTGTAATTACATGTAATCCACCAGGATATAGTCTTTTAAACTGCCCATTATAGGAGATTGGAAGTATGTTCTATACATTTTCTCAGTGGGTCCAGTAACAATTTCTTATGTCAGTTCCACATGGGGAATTTTATTATTATTATTTTTTTTTTAAAGCAACTAATTTTTATGTGGCACTGGTTTAAAAAGAATGTAGATTGCACCATTGTAATAAGTATACCTTCCATTGTGCAATGCTATAGTGTTGAGGTGAACATATGTCCCTCTCACTTGTCACTCCTCTGCACAACACATCTTGGCCCAGTTTTAGCTGCGCAAAATGCACATGGTCTTTGATCTGATTGTGGTGCTTGTGACCAAAGGGCTTGCCAAGATGGCTGCTTCCACAGGGCATGGGTAAGGCATGAGATGCACTGAAATAGATGTATTAATTATACATATTCATTACCAAATTATACACCGAAATACTAAATTACATGTAAACAATTGGCTTTAATATTAATAGAAATAAACAATTTTCAAATGAAATATGCATGTTATACCTAGGACACCTATGGAGAGTGCTGAAATCTAGCAAAATTATAAAATAATAATAGATATTATTAAAATGTATCAGTAATAGTAAAAAGTTTGCAAATAAAACATCAGATATGGGGCATTAGTAACACCCCCACATCCATAAAAGTTAATCTCGATGAATTTGTTATGGAGGCAGAAGTGACTGGGGCTGTCTTACATTCAGATGTTCAATATTTTTTCAATGATTTAAACCTGAAGCTGGTCCCCAAAACACCTCAGCCTCTTCTCTTCCTCCCTTTGTAGTGATAGGCTAAGAGTATAAGATGACACTTAACCTATCATAGGCCACCTGGCAAACCTTCCTGTTCATACAGGTGGCTGAGAGGAAGGAAGAGATGTGCTGGTGCTGGGGTTAAAACTTCACATAGTTTAATTGGAAAATATTTTAACCCCTGAAGTTAAGATGGCGCCTAGACACCTCTGTATGGAGATGAAAAAGTTATGGGAATGGAAGTGTTCTTATTTGATGTTAAGGGATACTCTAACATGCAGTCTGCTCACTATTAAATCTATTACCACTTAGTAATATGTTTTGAGCGTTACGAAAATTTATTTGAACAAATTTGCTTTTGCAAAGGAGTTGCAAAATTAAGGCCACAGTAACAAAATTGGAAAGATTCCTCAAGTCGTTTTGGCCTATTCTTGATTATTCTCCACAATTCTTTAATGAATAAACCTTGTTTTTTTATTTTAGATAAAACTAATTTGTATATAAGAAAATTCTATCAGCTTTCTTTTTGCTAACGTAGTCTGTTTACCTTCTTATGTGTGCTTCACTGGTGTCAATATATATTAGAACTGGAATTTCCAACTTTTCTCTTTTTTCCTTTTGCCAATTCACTAGGGGTTAACCCCCATGGAGGTTCCAGTTGTTTAGTCTCCTTTCTTTCTTCTTTTTTCATTCTTTCAAACAAATTGTTGCAATTTTGGGTTTGAATACCCGCTATCTATTCTATGAGCCACATAGGTGAAAAAGTATCACCATATAAAATGTCATCATTACTAAAGGAGGTTCAAATCTCTGTGACAAATCCGGGAGATATAAGTAAAGTATTTTCTTTAATACCATTTACAAATATAAAGAACAATGATATAAACAACCTATTCTTCTCAATACAAGATCTCTATAAATCCCAAATTAAGGGACACTGGGAATTGGAGAGCTTACGACAATATATAGCACAGAATCTAGTTCCCAGAGGACTTAGACCAGAGATCTCCACTCCAGTGAGAGTAGATAATGATGAAAAATTGACCAGGTGGAATACGATTTTATTAGATTGCTCTTCTAAACTAATGCAATTTTTAATTGAATTAGAACAAGAGGAATTAGATCTAACCAATAAAAACTTACAAGAAGAAATTAATAAGGTTAAGAATTTTTATAATAATCCTGAATATTCACTAATGGAGACAAAATTACAGAATAATTTGGAATCTTTCACAACCTTTATTAAAGAGAAAAAGCATCAAAAATTTGTGAGAGATTTTAATGACTTTAAAGAAGGGAATATTTTTCGAACCAAAAAACAACCGAAAAGACGGTTTGTCACTAGATCAAACTCAAGGAGCCGGAATACAGATGGCTCTGACTCTGATTCTAACTTTATGTTGAATAGAAAAGATTCTCGTTCGACATCTAGATCAAGACAAAATCCAAGAGGAATCTTGAGTAATCAGGATAAAACCGTCACATTTTTACAAACCCAGACCCCAAGTCCCATACCTCTGATTAACACATCACAAACTTTTTTAGATCAGGAATGGCCCACCCCACAGAGGGGACGCCTAAGAGACAGGGGGAAATGGGGATACAAGCCAGAGAGGACCACCAAGAGGCAATAACAACCATAATTCCCAAGAAAGATGACAACAAAGTCATTAATCTCTCAACGTATATCTTATCCAAACATCATATTTCACTTTTAAATAAGGGCCTTTCATTTGTCCCTACACCAGGGGGAGATGTCTTAAGCTGGACAAAAGATACCAATTTGTTTGGTAGAAAACTGGCATTATGTTCTCTACATAACCGAAGAGACAAAAAGTTATGCAAAGAGATTGGGATTGCTGCAGAAGACCATGATCATTTACAAATGTTGATACGGTTATTGGATGAGCAGGATACTGTCCAACCTTTAACAGATGTGAAACCCCCATCTTGGTACACTCCTAATCTAAAAGAGGTAACAAATGTAGATCTCTTTGTCCAAATGACAACAGACAAAATTGAAAAACTAATAACTTTGCCAACAAATAAACACAATTTGTCCTTAAGTGAACAATGTGCACTACGGGAATTAAGTATGAACAAAAATTTAATCATCAAACCCTCAGATAAAGGTGGCAATATTGTATTGATGGATCGGAAGATGTATGTCTCAATGTGCATGGACCATCTCAATGATCCTCTATGTTACAGAAAATTAACTAAGGATCCAACTTTAAGTTACATAGAGGACCTGAAAAAACTTTTAAATCAGACACTGGAATATGAAATTATTTCCAGAGACGAATTTAGGTACATACTCCCGAATTCTAATCCCACAATTGCCACCTTCTACTGTCTCCCAAAAGTGCATAAGAACCAACAGCAACCCCCAGGTAGACCGATTGTTTCCGGGAATGGGTCTCTTACTGAAAATGCTAGTAAGTATATTGAGAAACTACTTCATCCATTTGTTCTAAAGCTGGCATCCTATATTAAAGATACTAAACAGACTCTACTCAAATTAGAGAATCTTGAGGTTCCACCTTACTCTATGTTAGCCAGCCTAGACGTGGTTTCTCTTTATAATAACATTCCACACACAATGGGGCTAAAGGCCATAACTTATTTTTTGGAAAAATCTGACTTTACACTATCTCAAAGAGATTTCATAGTGAAATTGTTGGATTTTATTCTAACGCACAATTACTTCATCTTCAATGGGACCTATTACTTGCAAATGAAAGGC